GCAGGTCTCACTTCCAGCAAACTCTTCCCATCGGGAAAAGCCGCGGAGGAGTTTCTTGCTCCGGGAACATCAGGGCTGGAAGCAAACGCCCTGCAACCACTTCCCAGGGAAGCGCCGCCCGGGGTGAGCGGGTTGGGAGGCGTTCTGTCCCGCCAGACGCAGGAGGTGGGGGCGACCAAGCGAACGTTGGCATCTAACGAGCCACCTCCGTCCGCGCTGGGCTCGTGGGAGGAGGAGAGCGGCCCCGCGCCGTCGGCAGAGGCAGCTCCTTTCATCTCAGAATTAGGTGCCTACGGTTGGGCAAATGAGTCGCACCCATAAAAGCGTCTGCAGAGCCTGGAAAACCAGCTGGGGTGGAGACATCTGCATTGCACATTTCTGGAGCGAAGGGGACAGCCTGGAAGGGAGCTGGAGCTGGGAGAGGGTTGGATGGGGATCAGAGACACGGAGGGTACTCTGTGGCCCTGGAGGAGTTGGAAAAAGGGTCGATCTCTACCCGCGAGGAAAGCGCAGAGTTTTACTGGGCCGCGGCGTTTGTGCCTCGTGTTTCTCAGCGGGGGCCTCTGAGAGGAGCGTGGTGGGACCACGGTGGTTCGGGGACCTCCAGCAACCCACAGATTTGTCCTCGCAGAGCGGGTCAAGAGCTTTGCCCCTGATCGACCCAGGTTTTCTTCTTTGGTCCTGCCTGCCTGCCTATTCGTGTTCCCCTCTGCCCTGCCCAGCTGGACTTGGGTCCGTGTCCGGACACGGACCCAACATACGGGATCGTACCCCTCCCCGGCGGGGGCGTGGCAAAGGGGAAGGGGATGACATGGGAGAAGGAGCGAAAATATTCAAGGCTGGCTGCTCAAAAGTCTTTCCCGGTAGCCCTGATTGCCCTGGGTTTGTTTTTTTTTTAATAAACGCTCATGTTTGAGCTCCAGCAGCAATTTCGGGTTGGCTTTGCAGAAGGACGACGTCTGTCCTGCCGCGGGGTCCCCCGTGTTTGCCCACTGACGGGACCGAGTGCCGACGACGCGCCTGACTGAGGGGCGTGGATGGAGGGGAGATGTCACAGCACGACAACGGAGCGCTGGAACGCTGGCCGGTAAGTTTGCCCTCGGTGGGACCCGTGGGGATGGTGAGATGGGGCTTCGTCACGGGGTGCCCACTCATATCTCGTCTCTTATTCTGAGCTCAGCACTGCCCGCTCCCTCCCACTCTCGCTTCTGGTTCCTCTTCTCAGTTCTATAATCAATAGCGTGTATTTATTTCGGTGATGGCTCTTCCTCTTTCGGGTTTTCTCAGAAAAAAATCAGCAGTTTTTGAGGGAATCAACGTAGGCGAGTCGGGCGAAAACGCCGGCGCTTGCAGTTCACCTGTCCGCTCCACCTGCTCTTACGGCGGAGGAGTACCTAAGCAGCACATCCACGGGGGCCTCCTGTGCAGTTTATCCCGTCTTGTCCCTCCTGAACAGCCAACAGGGAGAAACAGGCTTTTCTTGGGAGTTATCCGGGAAGCTGGACACGTACAACGGTGTGGGACATCGCATTCCAGCTGGGTCTGTTTCCCTTCACTGACTGGAGGTCCATCACGAGAAGGTGGGAAAGGTGAGGAAGGCGTCCCCGTCCCGCGCGGCGTTTCTTGATCTTGTTGACCCAAATGTTGAGAAATCCAGCATAATACATCCATAGCAAGGCAGAGAGGGACAGTGCAAACCAAAACGTTCTTTTATTCAAAATAAATATCAGAAAAGTGGACAGAGATAGAGACCACCTCCCCAAACCAAGCCAGTCTGCAGCGAAAGGCCACCTCCCTTGGCAGAACAGCCCCTGGATCTGCCCTGCGCTTGGTGCCAGAAAGCAAGCTCTTTCGAAAGAGACAAAACCAGGAGGATTCGGCCCATTAAAGGCAAAACGAATTAAACAAAGGCCACACGTTTGAAAGCCCTGAGTGCTCTCCATCCTTGATCTACCCCTCTGTGTTCCCTTCTGATGCGCTGACTCCATCACCTTGCACCGGCCGACCCTTCCCCCTCGCCGCCGTCTGCCGGTGTCCCCACCGCCCCATCCTTGCCACACGGGTGCCATCCCAAAGCTCCCAAGGGAGACGGTCGGGGGAGAGGAGCAGCAAGTTCTCGCGGCGAGACGCTCTGAGCAACCACAGCCAACAGCTGGCATCACCCAGGAGGCGTCCCTTCCATTCCGGTCCGGCTGGCGGACACCTCAAGGACAGATCCGGAGGGGGAACCTGAACCCTACCCAGTCCAGAGGGGACATCAGCTGCCCAGTCATGGGCTGGTCCTCTGAGAGCGGGGTTTGGCTGATTTCTTGCAAATGAGCCCCCATCCCGATCTTGAACCAGGGGAAGACCCTCTCCCCGTTGAACAAGGCCCCGGTGTAAACCAAGATGGGAGCGTCGTCGTCTGCGCTGAAAAACGCCACCCGCCTCCCTTCGTAGTCCAAGGAGACCCGTATCCTCCTGGGGAGCTGATTCGGGCGCAGGTTGGCGCGGGGGGACGTGAGGGAGTGATAAGCCTCCAGCGCCCAGACCCCCTCCTTGCGGGTGAGGCTCATCGGTCCCTTCCTCTTGACCGACGCTCGGGCCACCCCTAGGGCCCAGACGCCCCCCTGCCCCACCTCCACCTCCCAGAAGTGCCTCCCCGAGGTGAAACCCTCGCAGCCCAGCACGCAGGGTTCGAAGTCAAATCGCTCCGGGTTGTCGGGGAGGTTCTGCCGCGTCAGCTGCCCCCTGGCTTGTTTTCGGTCCTCGGAGAGGTGAAGGTTGGGATGAGCCGTGGCAGGGTCCAGGGTCACGTCGGCTGCGGGACAAGGGAGAACCAGAGTGTCGGAGGCAGGGCTTTGCCCCGGGAGAGGCTGGAGGTGTTTCTTTTCCCCTCAGCATCTGGGACCAGCCCCACTCTCCTGCTTCTCCCAGCTCTGGAGGCTTCACGGGGGGCGTGG